GGGGGTGGCGGCGGGGCGGCGGACGGGGTCCGCTCCCGCTCCCGCTCCTCGCGCAGGGGCCGCCGGCGCGCAGGCCGCGCCTCGTGGACGTCGACGCCCGAGTCCAGGCTGGCGTCGGTGCTGCGGCCGCCCCCGCCCGCCTGCAGGTCGATGTAGGAGTGGCGCACTTGCGAGTTGGAGCGCCCGTCCAGGGACACAAACCAGGCGCGCGGGTGAGGCTTCACGCCCAGTTCGAGCAGCTTCTTCTCGGTCAGCGCCTGCAGCTCCCCGTTGAGCTGCGCCATGGTGGACTCGTTGAACAGCACCGGGATGGTGACCGAGCCACTGACCGGCGCCGAGCGCCCGCCCCCCCAGCCCTCGCCGCCGCCGCCCCCGCCGCCCTCGCCGCCCGCGCTCGAGTGGCCCTGCATCAGCGGGCGCTGGGGGTCGGGCGGGGGGAAAGGGCGCGCGGGGCCGGGGCCCGTGCCCTCGGGCGGGGCTGGCTCGTCGCCCGCCCCCGCTGCGCCCGCCTCGCCGCCGAGGCGTACGTAGTGCGCGGGAATCACCAGGGTGGGCATGACGTTGCGGTAGACGCTGTCCTTGAGGTGGTCGATGGAGCCGCAGAAGATGAGCTGCCCGGCCTGGCTGAGCGACGGCGGCCGCGCCAGCTGGTCCACCGACTGCGACAGGAGGAAGTCGGGGGGCTTGCTCTCGGCTGCTCCCTTGTGGCCCAGGTAGTGCTCGAAGGGCGGCGGCGGAGAGGGCGGCTCCTGCAGGAAGGCGGGGGTCGCCGAGCCCCCCCGCCGGTACTCCTCTAGGCCTGGCTCCAGCCCGCCGGGACCCTCGACGGAGCGGGCGCCCTTGAGCCCCGCGCCCTCGCCCCCGCGGGCGCCCCCAGGCTCGGCTGCCGGGCGGCTGGCGGAGCGCGGCTTGGCGCGGAAGAAGTCGTCTCGGGAGGCGGCCAAGTCCCGAGAGCTGGAGAAGGCCGAGTGCAGGGGGCCTGGGGGCGGAGCCTCAGGGTCTCCCGACGAGGCGGGCTCCAAGGGTCCCCCACAAATGAGGTGGAGCTGGGACATCGAGGTGGCCTGGTCTCGTTTGTTACCATCAGAGGGCCCGGACAGCTGCAGCTTGCGGTGCTGTTGCCTCGGCTTCAGGCAGCGTCTCCTGGAAGGTATTGGGGGGCGGGGGGGGGGGGGGGGGGGCACCTCAGGACCTCAGGAAAGCGTTGGGGGCCTGAGCTGCTCCCTCACCCCATATTTGCAAGGCGAGGGTTGAATATAATTGGAGGGGTGGGGAGAATGCCTGAGACTCAGGAGAAATGCTGGGGAACCCAGGTGGGCCTGGGGAGAGGTCTGTGGAAAGAGCTTGGGTGTCTGTGGGTGTCCTTCGCTCGTAGGAGGCGCTGTGGGAACCTGGGGGGAGCACGTAAGCCAACCAGGGCCACGTCTAGCCTGAGGCCTCCCTTTGGAGGGGCCTGGCCTGTGGGTCCTGCCTCCTCCCCCCCCCCCACGTCTCTTCAGCCACCAGTCTCTCAGGTCTGTGCATGTGCACTGGCGGTCCTTTCCTGTCAGTGCCTTGAAGACTGGAATTGTATTTTATGCATCTTTGGGGCCCAAGCGCCCAGCCCAACACCAGGCACAGAGCAGGCTTCTGTCCGCATGGGATGAGGGGAGGTTGGGGGATTGGGAGGCACTCACCGGCAGTAGTAGATGAGCAGACACAGCAGAATGAGCACCAGCAGGGCCAGCGCTGCCAGGATGGTGAGCAGAAAGATGGTGTGGTAGGTGCCAATGTCCTGGATGCCTGATGTGATGGTGACCAGTCCTGTGCCAGGCAAGGGCTTAATATTCCAGGCATGGACGCCCTTCCTGTCTTTCAGGAGTCTATGCTCCCAACCTCCCCTTCCCCCACTGCCCCCTGTCCCCACTGTCCCCCCATCTCTCACCAGTGGTGGGGGAAGCCATGGCAGCTGCCCAGTACCCCAGCTGGGGGGAAATGAAAGTCCAGTAGAGCTGCCGGCCTTCCTTCCGGATCACACCAGTGCCGTTGCGTACCCACAGCCCTGGAGAGGCGGGAGTTTCATGAAACTCAATGCCACTCCCCACCCCCGCCCTGCCCCAGCTAAGTCCCACTTTCTTTCCCCAAACTCCAGCGGCTGCACCCCTTGAGGCACTCACCACTCTTGGGGTCGAACCTCCAGGCTGGAATGCTGGTGCCCGCAGTAAGGGCACGAGGCTCGGAGGGCACGGGCAGGGACAGGTGAATGGGGCCTGAGAGTGGCACTTCTGTTCCGTTGCCTGTTAGTAGGTGCACGCTGACAGCAGCCAGCGGCATCAGCTCCAGCCAGGAGCCATTGCCTGGGCGGGGGAAGGAGACACGAGGGCTGAGGGGTGAGTCCTGATGGGAGGAGGACATCCCTTCCATGCTGACACCCAGCATACCTGAGCTGGAGGCCTCGGTGCCCAGGAAGGCAGGGAAAGCACGCATTTCCTGCTGGGTGCTGGCGGGTGTGAGCGAGGCCCAGAGCTGGCTGTAGGTAGAGCTGACCGGCAGGCGGGCAGCCCGGCGCTGGAACTGCACCCACGGCTGGGAGCGGGCACCTGGATGGAGAGGGGGGCCTCCTGTGGATTGGCCAGGGACAAGGTTCCCCAGGGACCAGAGCAGAAAGCAAGTATCCGAGGAGAAGGGAGCTATTGGGTCAGGCCACTTGGGAAGGTCAGGGAGGGTTGTGACTTGGGGAGAGAACTGGGCATTCATAGAATGTTAACCTGGAAAGGAAAAAGGACACGGACCTGAAATCTAGTCCTAGCTGTGTGACCCTGAGTGAGTTACTTGCTCTCTCTGAAACACTATTTCCTCATTAACCCATAAAATGCTGAGGTTCAGGTCCTCAAACAGTTACTATTGACTACTGTGTGGCAACACTGTGCTAGGTGCTAGAGATACAAAGTTGAATAAAACACAATCCGCAATTCCGTGCCTTCAGGTTCACAGTTTTGTGCAGCACTGTCCATTTTGGTACCCATTAGAACTTTCTGCTGTGTTGGATGGAAATGTTCTCTGTGCTGCCCATTACAGTCCCCATTAGAGACACATGGCTATTAAGCACTTGAAAGGTGGCTAGTGTGACTGAGAAACTGGATTCATTTTTCATTTTTTTTAATTTAATGAATTTTTAATCTATTTAAAGAGCCACATGTGGCTACTGACTACTACATTACACAGCTTAGGTAGTGTGTGTGTGTGTGTGCGCGCGCGCGCGTCTGTCTGTCTGCCTGCCTGTTTTGGGGTGGAGGGGGAGTATAAACAGAATTCCAGTACAGTGTGGTCATCGCTAACATTTATTAAGCTTTAAGATATACTGGACACTGTTCTAATCAGTGTTAACCCCTATGATTAGTACAACAGCCCCTGAAGTAGGTGCTTTCGTTATCAACCCTGTTGTATACATGCAGAAATGGAGGCAGGAGAAGTTTAGTGACTTGCCCAAGGTCACAATCCTGGAGCCTAACTGAAGCCCAGGAAGCCTGGTGCCAGCCCAACTTCTCAGCCCCTTAACATCATACCTTGCTATTAAAATACGGTACAAAGGCCACTCGGCCCACCCAGCTGGGGTAGGTCCTGTGGAGTCTTGCGTGGTGAGTAAGACTCCACCAGGAAATAGGATATAAAGGGGCCTCCAGGAAAACGGACAAGAGAAAGGCCCAGAGGCATGGGGCAGTGTGCTGGCTGGGGACCCCAGGTGACTGAGTGGCACGTAGGCCCCACAGGGCACAGTCAGCTTTGTGAAGGACTTGAGGCTTGACTCTGAAAGCAGTGGGAGCCATGGGAGGGCTGTAAACTAGGGGGCAACAAAGAGATAATTTGGCATTTTGTTATTTTTTAATTATTTTTTAAAGTAGACTCCACACCCAACATGGGCCTGAACTCACAACCTTGAGATCGAGAGTTAAATGCTCTACCGACTGAGCCAGCCAGATGCCCCTTGTGTGCATTTTACAAACCTCCAAAGACAGTTTTTAGGAGCCTCTGGTTCAGGACCAGGGAAATGAAGGTAAGCAAACAAGTAACTTGGGAACAAGGGCACAAGCTAAGAATATAAATTGGAGGGGGTGGGGGTGGGTGTCCTCTGTCTCCAAAATCCACTGTGGCTCCCTGGTACGAGCCAGATCAACCAGTCTGCACCAGGCACACCACCTGCAAAGCCAGACCAGAGCATTCCCTGCACCCTCACTGTCCACTTCTGCCCCTGCATCTGGATTCCTCTCCAGTGAGGGCACCTCCTTGCTCCCCCTTCGACTCCCAAGCCCCCATGGTCCATAGCTCCCGTCCCCAAATTCTCTTGCCCTGCTACACTCACAGGGTAGAGTTGTCTCAATACTAAGGGCGGCTGCCCTCTACTCCACGGCTCTACCTGTTTTGTAATTAGTTCAGGGTTTGCAGGGATCTGTTTGTCTTCCTACTTGTCTGTGAACTCCACAAGGCAGGGAGCGGGTTCTTTCTTCCCATTGTTCCCCAGCACCAGACACAATGCCTGGTGCAGCACAGAGACTGAAGCCGTGAGTAGACAGGTACCACTGTGGGATTTCTCCAGGCCTTGCACTTGACAGTTGTCCAATAGCTATGGAATGACCCCCTCGCGGCCTTCTAACATAACCAAGCACCCAGTAGGTGCACAAGAAGTACATGTAGATCCACCAGTGAAACAGGTGGCAGGGAGTGGGGATTCTAATGGTAGGAGTAGAGGGAGAATAGAAATCACGAGAAGCGCCAATAATAATAAACATTTATTGACCACCTTCTCTGCCCTTTTTTTTTTTTTTTTGCATGTTTGATGATATTTAATCCTTACTTCAATCTGATCACATAGATACTATCAATATCCACATCTTACAGAGGAACAAACTAAGGCTCAGAGAGGTTAAGGGACTTGCTCAAGGGCATCCAGCTAATCTGTGGAAGAGTGGAGCTCTCTACATCCAGGTCAGGGGGGGAGGAAGAGGAGCTAGTATGAGGTAGGGGGGAAAGAGGAGCCTTACCAGGAGAGCCCAAGAGGATGTGCACCAGGTCCTCATAGAGGATGAGGGTGGCCGGCCGCTCGGGAAGCAGGTAGAGGCTGACTGATGCATACACTGTGGGAGGGGTGGCCTGTCAGCACCAGAGAAAGCTCCCCCCAAACCCCAAGGCCGGGCACTCCTTCCATCTGAATCCCAGTGGCTTCATCTTCCTTCAGCCCCCTCTGTGTACCCCTGCCCGGGCAGCAGCTGCTGGAAAGTCTGCCCCCTCCACCCCCGGGGACTATTTTGGGAAGGGGCTGATGGGGTCAGCTGCTGCCCACCCCCCCTCCACCTGCCCCTGCACTCACAGGGCAGCTTGTCAACACGCCAGGGCACAGAGTTGGTGAGAAAGCCAGGGCGAGCAGCAGTGACCAGCACCCAGGTGCCCAAACGGTAGCTGAGGGGCAGTATGGCCACGCCCTCTGAGTCCGTGGTGCCAGCGGCAAGCAGCATCCGGTTCCCAAACACATCCACTGAGGCCCGGGCCAAGGGCACCAGCTCCCCGCTCACATACACCTGCACCTTGATCAGGATCTCTGTGGGGTGAGGAGAGTGAGGAGGAACGGGGGGAAAGAGAACTGGAGGGAGCCCCAAGATCAGAGGAGGGGGCTGTGGGTTAGAAGCAGCTTTGGGGTCCAGGTGAGACAAGGTTTCCTAAGAGTCGGCATTGGTAGGGCCCTCATTTAAACCTCACACCAGCCTGTGAGGTAGGGGGTGCTAACACATGCACTTTTTCCACATTTTAACATTTCTGAACTCAGATTATGCCTATGATTGATGATGTCATAATTACAATTGGCAGCATTTTTTCTTTTCTTACTGGCACATGAAATAATGGTGCATCTTACAGTCAATGATGTATTAGACTCCATCAAATATGTTCTTAGTCCATTTTACAGATTAAGAGGCTGAGACTCAAAGTTTAGACACTTGCATTGCAGTTAACGGGAGACCTGGGATCCAAACCCGGAAGTATGACTCTAGACCCAAATTCTTAACCACTGGACCCTATGGGGCACGTGTCAGGGAGGGGAGAGGGATGAGGGCTGAGAAAGGAGGACTAAGCAGAAGACCAAGGGTCTGCAGATGGAGAGGAGAGAGACCAAGATTCAGCCAATGAGAAGGGGAGGGAGGGAGGCTGGGTCAGTTTTGGTTCTGAAGAGAAAGCTGAGAAAGGGGACACTAGGGAGCTGGTCATTCCCCTCATTCATTCTCTTCCCAGAATCCTTTGCACAAGCTTGTTTCCTTTCAGATTTAGGGACTCACCCCAAGCCCTAAGCCCAACCGAGTACCTCCCTAACCCCTCCCCCTCACAAGTACTGCTTGCCCCCTCCCAACTGGTCAGCTACAAGTCAGTCACCATGGCAACGCCCTCATTCCTCCCAGGAGATGGGCAGAGAGCTGGGGCCCTGGCAAGGGGAAGGAGATCTGGGGGGGGGCTGACCCAGGCCCAAGGGAAACTGGTGTGGAGAGGGCTGAGAAGGGAAGTCCAAGTTTTTTGCTTTCCAGCCACCTCTGCCCCTGGACCCAAGACAGCTTGTCCAGGGTGGGCCTGCAGGTGTCCTGAGCTCAGACAGAGTGACCGGTAGGGACCAGGCCTGGAGTTGTCGTCATGGACTCCCCAGGCAGCCTCTCTGATCCGTATTACCATCTACCTCTCTCCACTCAGCAAGGTCCCTCCCTCAAGAACATACCTCACCCCTACCTTGCTGCTAATAATGGGAGGAGGTTTCCATACCTAGAAAGGTACAGAGGCCTCATTGCAGGGCCCAGAAGATGGGTGGGGAGTGGGTTAGGTGCTGGAGAGTCCAACCTAGGAGAGTCCAAGTGCCCTGGAAGCTCAGGGCAGCAGGGCATGGGGAGGTAAGGGGCACTCATGGGTGGAGCCCGACACTCAACAGTGACAGGTGTCTTATCTCAGGCTTCCAACCCCAAGGCCAGCGACACGCCTGGCCCTGGCATCCCATCCAGCTGTTCTCCTGAACCCACCTCCCTCACCCCTCCCAGGCCAAAGCCCAACTTGGCAGGGTGGGTGCACACACTTGACTCTTTCCTACTCTGCTTTTCCCAGGAGCTGACAGTCTCCCTGCCCCTCCTCCACTACCACTCAGGAGGAATTCTGAGAAGCCAGAGGGGCTTGGCTACTCCCCACCCCTACCCCCGGCTAGGAGCAGCTGGATGGAGCAGCTGGGAAGAAGGGACCCAGGAGTCTGGAATATGGTCATTTGAGGGAATGCTTTGGGTTCTAAGGGCCAGAGCCTTAGATGAGGGGAAGGGGCCCAAGGAACACGACGGGGGTGGGTGGGTAGGCCTGAAGGAGACATTGGTGGGAAGGGGTGGGCAGGTGCCTAGCAGATTCTCTCCCCGCTTCCCCTCAACCTGGGCTCTCAGCCAGTGGCCTGGGAGAGCCCTCTATCCTGGCTCTATTCCAGCCAATGCCCTGGGCCCCCTCCCCTGGGGTACAGGACTTGAAGGAGAGGCTTCTTGAGAAGCCAGGGCCCCTTCCTATCCATCAAACCCTCCTCTCCTCCCGCAGAGAGCAGGGAAGACTGAGGCCAGAGGTGAGCCTTCCCCATTTCTCAAGCTTGGCATTCCATACAGTATCCGCCTCTCCAGGCTTCAGCCCTGCCTCATTCCAGGAGGAAATCCGACCCCCTGCCTTCATCCGGCCCCCACGTCCCTCACCCAGACCCCCCCCCCCCCCCCGTTTTTCCTGTCAGCTCCTTGGTGGGGAGATGAGGAATGGAGAGCACCGTTTCGGGCAGGGACGGGGCCCAGAGGCGATAGAGGGAACAGTAGCTGGGGTGGTGGGGCAGGAGGCTGGAAGGTGGGCGCAGGGCTGGAGTGGGCGAGGCCCCGAGAACCCAGGCGTCGGTAGGGAGTCATGGTCTAGCTCTCCCACCCTCTCCCGCTGCAGGAGACCACCCCACCCCCCACCTCACACACCCACCTGGGCCCGTGAGGCGCCGGGAGGCTCTCCTCCACCGCGATGGAGAGGTTAGATGAGGAGGGGTGACCTGGGGGAGGGCTGGGGATAGGAGTGGCCGGAGGCCTGCTGGACGGGAACCCAGGCACCTGCCCTTCTAGCCGGCACAGCCCACAGCCAGCTAGCCAGCTCAGCATGGCTCCGCCACCACAGCCCTGCCATGCGCTTTGGCTGGGAATCACCGCGTACCCCTTTTTCCAGATCCCCCCAAACTGCATGCCCTCCCCCCTCAAGGTTTGACAGCGTTTCTTTGGTACACCCCCAATTCTGAACCTGGGGGGCCGGCCGGGGGCTGTCAGGCTCCAGAGCGAAGAACCCCATTCGAGCAGTCAATCCGCCCACCGCCTCACCCACTCCCCCTTCTCCCCTCCCCCCTTCCAATCCAGCTCCAGGCGCCCAGCCCCCGTCCGGGTCCAAGGTGGCAGCCGATGCTGGCGCCCCCACCCAGCCCGCGTCGGGAGCGAGGAACCCGCAGGGGGCTGCGGAGCGGGCGCCCGCCCCAGCCCGCCCCTGGGCGGGTGTCTTCGGTAGACAATGGCTCAGGCAGCAGCGCCTCGCGGACCAGGAGAGAGAAAAACAAGGCGAGAGGGGGAGGCGGCGCGGAGTCTGGGGACCCCCGCTCTCCCCATTGTGTCTCCCCGAGACCCCCGCCCTGGCAGTCTCCCTCTCCCTTCCTCCTCTCCCCCGTAAGCGCCGACCCGAAGTCGCCTGGCTCCCCCCACCCAAACCCACGGAACAGAGTACCCCCCCAATTCACGAGCGCCGCGAAGAGGGGGCTGGCGGGCGGGGGCCCGATGGAGGGGGCGCAGGCCCGCGATCGCTGCCCCTCCTGGCCGAGACTCACCCTGCGGGCTGGGGGGCTCCGGCGGCGACTTGCCGGGAGCCCGGGAGGCGCCGCCGAGCAGCAGCCCCAGCAGCGGCAGCAGCCGCGCGAGGACGCTGGGGCCACTCGGCGGCGGCATCGCGGGGCTCGGCGGGGCCCTAGCGGCCCATGGCTCCCGCCCGGCCCCG